TCCTGAGGACCAGCGGGCAGAATGTGCCGTCGTGGCAGCAGAACTGAGCCTTGAACTCGGGTGATTTCGAGCCTCGCCGGTGCACCGTGACGCCGTTGGTGACATCCAGGAAAGCTCCTTAGGGAGACATCTCATGCAACGTCTCCGCGCCATTTCCCACGTTGCGACACTCATGAAGCGGACCGGAGTCGGAAAGGAGACCTAAGGACCAAAAGCCCATTTCCCACGAAGTTAATCCGAGGCAGTGGGAGTGAAATCCCACGAGGCCGTTTCAAAGAGTCACTCAGATTGCATCAGTATGGAAACGCTGCATTGTCATGAAGCTCCTGGAAGGAATCGGCTTTTGGGAAATAAACCGGCGACCCTGAAAATGCTTGTTATATTATTTTCAGTGTGGAATCATGCCAGCAATTAGCTCCGCAGAATGTAAAATACCCCGTTTTACCGCATTTGTGGCCACCTCGTCTTTAAAAAGACAAACTGAGGAGTCCTTGAAATACTAAAACGCTGATTGCTATGAAATTAGAAAGCATTGAGGCGCCTTCTATATGTATGAAATCAAGCTTTGTTTGTGCTTGCAGCAATGCTATTGAACTGGGTTTGAATAATAATTCCAAGAACAAAATTAACATTGTTTGTCCTTCAGGGAAGAGTGATCACTTTTTAAATTATTCATTTCAATGTAATGTTTTTTAGGTTCTTCCCTCCTTCAGGTGGAGCAGGAATCATTTTTCAGGAAATTATACATTTAAATCTGAAGCACCTTTGAATGGTGAGTGGAACGCGCAGAAGAAACATCCCCATTATATTGAGCAAAAACGTCTTTTAGTGCAGTTTAGAGATTTATAGCTCTTTTCATTCAAGATCACGTCCACTTTCAGACTGGAGGAAAAGAACTCTTGCTTTTAACGTAGATCATAAATGACATATTTCAAACCCCATTTCTTACTCTGCAAAGCCTCCTTGTAACACCAGATGGAAATATTCAGCATCATACACATTTATGCTGCCCGAATAGACGTTAGTATATGTAGCATGTACACTCTCGCTGTTTCCTGAGACGGCAGCGTGATTGATTGTTGTGATGTGTGTTGTCTGCACGAGCCAGTGAAACACACAATGTAGCTTCACTGAAGGAGAACAACTCCTTTGAGGTGTGCTGCACACTCAGTGTACAAAGACTGCAGCTGACACGTCGTCTCTCATTTTCACCCTAATAACTCACACTGGCCCGTCCTCCGAGTCCCAGTAATAACACAAAGTACTAAAAGTCTCTCCAAATTGTCGACTTGAGCTGCACATGGAAAACATTTCGACCACTTATTTTAGCCTCAGAGTGGCAGAGAAAGCAGAATCACGCAGACACAGACGCACGAGGGCACACGGACACAAAGAACACAGCTTGAACGGATCTCTCGGGGCGAAAACGGACTATTCACTCAGTTCAGTCTCATTATGGAGTGACTCGCTGCACCAGCAGACATTGTCCTTTTTAGCATTTTCATACCCTTGAACGTGTGTTTTGTCTTTCTGTTCCCACCCAGTTTTAGGAACTGAAAAAGCCTCCGGCTGGTTTTGCTTTTGCACAATTTTGTGTTTTTAGAGACTGGCTGAAGATCCCGAGGGTGGGCTCCAATAACTTCAAAACACATCCAAACATCAATTACCGCGAATTCCTTCCCCATATTTTTAGAATAGAATATTACTAGGAATGTAAATGTACAATGATATCATCATGCACTTTTCATACTGTGTCCAGGTGAAATTCCAAAGTGATCTGGGACACCAAGGCAGCATCGGTGGCATCGGTGGCAGAGTTTATCTGCTCTGCAACCGCATGAGTTGAACTCGGCCCACTACAATCACCTGCTCTGTCAGGCAATGTGCAGAAGACATGGCAACCTTTGTGATGCATGGACACGGCCCAGCACGGCCGCACAGCTCGCAGGGTATTATTAACCGCCTTTTAACACACGTGCAGTGAACTGGTGTGTTTAACCACGGCCGTACGAAGGCGGTCCACCGAGAGCGGTCAAAGGCCTTCCACCGCGAGGCGCGTGTCCGGCAGTACGTTGACCCAGAGGGGTGAGTCGTGACCGGCAGCGGGAGGCCTTTTCGACAGACCGGACTCGACTGCTCTCGTCCTCTGCCAAAGGAGCTGGGAGTCAAGCGGCTGCAACGAGCGCGGCTTATGGCTTCGTGCCGCGTGAGCAGGGCTCACCGCCTGACTGCCGAGCTGCATTTTTCCACCAGCTCCAAGCCAAAGGTTTTCGTTTCGGTGTGTCTTGTAAGGTCTATTGTTTTGTGGAGTCTTCAGAGGGTCCAACGTGCAGTGTAGATCCAGTCTAATGGAGAAAAGCTCTGTTTTCATTCTGCACGTATTTGACTTACAATTATTTGAATAAGTTCATCCGGACTCAACGGGTTTTCTTCAAAGGGTTTTCAATATGCCGGCGGGCACACCGAGAATGTCAAATTCAGTTCAAATGATTCACTTGGTTTGCAGCTATTTCAGCAGCTTCAGAGCGAGTAAACCCAATAACAATCGAGTTACATCTCAGTCCACTCTAAATCTGATCGGTCACGGGGGGGAAACTGGCTCCTTATCGGCAGCCAGTGCTTAAAGTGAGGCATCAAGCATCCTCAGGCTCAGAGTCACCACAGAAACCCCACATCAAAAAAAAACCTGTACGCTACCCATGGCTAAATTCAGTTGTGTGGGATTGTGAGAAAAATGCTGTCGGGTCTCAAAATAAACAGCCTCACACCTCTGAGGCTCATTGATGAAAGTCACATGCAGGTCTCATGAAATGTCCCTCGCAGAGTACTCAAAGGATGCAAGGTGACCAAAAACACACGTGATGTGAGCGGAAATGCTCTCTTCCAGCAGGTCATTGTTATTATGATGTGTAATTCCCTCTAGCAATTATAAGACCAGTGTCCGATTTCGTAGCTCAAAACTACTACATAATGATGCAATGCAAAGTCTGCTCACGACTGAATTAAGTCCGTGCAGAGTGCATGCTGCAAGCAAAGCTGTGGATTGGATGGTATATATATGTACATTAGACGGCGAGGTACGCCAGGGGTTTAATGTCTCCAAGATGTGCCAGGGACTGAACTCCCCACTGAGCCTTTCACAACAAATGAAAAAAGGTTTGAAAAATTCTGCTAAATTGAACCCACATAAATTATAATCTCTGAAGTATTGTGTTACAACATAAATCACTGTAGAAACAGTCTGGATAAGAACCCCCCCCCCCCCCCAGTCAACAGGACTTGGCACTAACGCGTTACGGATCTCTGCGGACGTGATGTGGAAGCACGAGGCGGTGAAACGAGACGGGCGCCGCGTGTGAAGGCTGAGAGGGAGCTGAGATCGAAAGCCTCGCGCTGGTGAAAAGGTCACGTCTCCAACTGGAGAGGTAAACAGCCGAGATATTAATCCCCCCACTATGAGGCACATGAGTCTAGACATTTGGGATATTTATGCAGTGACGTTTTTTACAGTTTTGTATTTTGGTGATTTCAAGAAATGTACATAAGCCAATTTGTGAAAAGGAAAGATTGTTTAAACAGCTTATTCAGTAGTTATTTTAAAAACACATCGGCCTTTGAGGCTGAAACTGACAGAAAATTTCTCATATCTCAAAAATCAAATAAATAAATCACTGACTTCATCTCAAGCGTAAACAGCAAATGTCTATTTCAACAAGTGGTCGGTCCATTCAATCCATTGAGTAGTCTGAACAATGGGGTTTAGTCTTCATGGGACTGTGCCGGAACTCTTCAACCCAACAGGGAGCAGGGGGGCGGTTGGGGGGTCGCAGGCTGGCACAGAGCAGTGTCTGAGGGGAGGGGGGGGCACTCGACCGTGTTGCAATTTGCCGTTTTGTGGGAAAATGCGTCGGGTCAGGAGCTCCGAAATGTACGTATGCTAATTTTCCATTGTGGTCCAAATTGTTTCTGCACCTTTTACATTGCAAGCAGACCCCTTATTTTAAAGGATTGCTCATTCTTTTTTGAGCTGATGTCAATGAAGAGCAAAATGACCTTTTTTTCTTTCGCTGTGGCATATAAATCAAATCAGTCTCCCACATTGAGCCGTCAAGCTTCCCTACGCTCTGTACTCGTACAGCAGAGGTTGAATCCCAGACTAACCTCCATTAAAACGCAGCGACGGACCTGCAGAGGATTGTTATCATAGATTACTATTGTTGCATCAAAGCCACACTTTTAGTCTGATGTCAAAATTCAGATTTTGCTTCTCAATGTCACATTTGAGTCAGACTTTAGAAATACAGATGAAAAATCAAGAATATCAATACCAGGATCAGACATGTCCAAAGCTTTTTGCACTTTCTGCACGTTGGGATTATAGACTAGACTATAGAGAGCTCTGAAACCGCTGTGGACTGTGTGGGGTGTGCAGAGACCGGCTGATGGACGTCTTCCTGAACCGCCTGTCAGCTTTGTTCAGCATCTCATGGCGGGACGAGGGAGGGAGGGAGATTTGTGACCAAATGAATAGAGTCACAGTCTGAGCCGAGCAGACGAGCCAGCATGTGGGTGTTCAGCACCTTTTGGGAAACGTTGTGGTTATATGTCATATGTCTTTAGTGTGAGTATTACACGCATGTGGGACACCTGCACATAACACCCTCCACACCTCTATTTCCTACCTGTCCAAATAAGTGGCACACTCTGAATCCTGCTCTTAATATCTGATTATTGTGATGTCACATGGCCACACCTTAATTATTGCTGCATGGATGCAAATCCCAGGTATGTGCAGAAGCATCACCTGTAAAGGTAACTTGACTTGTAGGACGCACACAAACAGTGGGCCTGCAGCTCAGGCGGGCATGTTTGCCCCATATGGGCGGCGTCTCTCTGTCCCCTGTCCCATTTAGTCCTAACCAGTGGAGGTGGGTGGCAGGTGTGCAGGGGGATACAATCAGAGCGACGAAGCCCATCGGACCCCCCCAGCCGCCCGGCACGCGCTTGTTGCGTCGATGGATCAGCTGTGGCGGAGCGCGCTGATTGGCCGGGCGCGCGGCGGGGGGCGGGGGGGCACGTGGACTCCTCGCTCGTCATCACCGGTTTCTCCGGTCGTCGAGCGCGTGAACGCCGGCGCGTCCGCCTCTCCTCGGACTTGGGAACCGACCCTTCCGGCTCGCGCCATGGATGCTACCGTCTACCAGATCATAATTGGGGAGCTCGGGGACATAAATTGCACTTTGATAGACGCGCTCCAAGAGACTTTTTTCGAGAACGCATCGTTCTCGTGGCTCAGCTATGATGGTAAGATGGAATTCCTCCTCCTTCTCCTCCTTCTCCTCCTTCTTCTTCTCCCTTCTTCTCTCCGCTATTGGGTGATGCTGCGTGCGCTCCTGTTGTGCTCTCTTGTCTTCCCCCCCCAAGGGTTTTATTGCAATGCCACCAGCGATGAGATCGGGACCTGCTGGCCGCAGAGCAGCGCGGGCAGCGTCGTGGAGCGACCGTGTCCCGAGTACATCAACGGGGTCAAGTACAACACCACCAGTAAGAGGCAAAAGTTACTCTCTGCGTTTATTCGGATGAAATCATTTTGCCACAATAAGTTTATTTTGTTTCATGTTTTTTTTTGTTTTCTGTGAACACAAACAATGAAGCCAGAAACACACAAACGCATCGCGAGGTGTCTCAGTGGACTGCGGGGGGGTTTGATGGGGAATCGGTGCTGTGGAATAGTAGGGACGTGATAATCAATAGCCTATATCTAAAAATGTGTTTAGGCATTTACATATTTTTATGTAAAAAATGTTTTGACACAAAGCTTATACTGTAAATAAAAAGCCCGTTAAAAGCAGTAAGCGACAAATATTCTGTTCAACTTGAGTTTAAAATCAACCCCACAAACATTTCGGATGGCTGATCCAATCACTCGGTTGTGAATGTGTACGACATCTGATGATGTGGTTTGGAGGCTGGTTTGCAATCACCTTCTCATTCAGTCGAATCGATTCTCACGGAATTGCAGATCTTCAGTTCAACAATAACACGCTTTTTATTTAAACTGGCTTCTTTTCTCTCAATGATAAGCTGTGATCTGCCGGCTTGTGAGACCCACAGTGAACAGCATCGCGTTATGCAACTGCTGTGTTAATCATAGGACGGATGAAGTTGTTGACACGTTAAAAAAAAGCAATTTGCAGGTTTTAATTTGAGAAAAACCACATTCGGAGTATTTCCAGCGCGAAGGTTCAGCTTGGCGGTGAGAGGGAGGACTCTTCATTTAACACGGCTGTTATCTCTGTAATCGACTCAAGTGTCCAAACCCCCAACCACACACACACCACACACACCACACACACACCACACACACACACACGCACACTGCAATGATTCACAATCAGTCCATTTGTTGAGGAATGTCAGGTCACATTGTTGAGATCGTATCTTTGAGGTGAAATTACCCAGCTGATGTTTTCCCCCCTTGTGATGACCCGATGACAGACGCACGTATTTCTAAAGGTCTTCGCTTCCCTTTAAGGCAGAACGGAAAGAAAACGAAAGAACAAAATAAAATCCTTGTATTGCCATCGACCTTTTGTAAGGCACTTATCCCAGTCTGCCATCGAGAATCCAAATTTAATGTATTCTGTGTACTTTTACACGCTCGCCTCCCACATTACTGTTTCCCTTCAAATATTCATTCATCTTGTGTCTCTGCATCCGAGGCGGCGTCAGCCGGCCGAACGTGAGTCTCTACCTGAGGATGTCAACTTTTGTTTGAATTCCTGTGTTTGTATTTGAGTAATTAAGAACGTATCGATGTGGAAAGTGGCCCCACTAGGCGGCGCTCTGCACGCCGGCTGGGAGCAGCCGGATTGGAGCTCCCGGCGTCACTTCACACAATGAAAAAGGTTTTAGTGCAGAGAACAAAGAAGAAAAGCTTATGAGGGGGAGGGATGGATTATCAACACTTTGCAGTCAGAACTGATATTATTTCACAGACGGGCCGCTGCGTCTCGGGACTCTCAGTCGTCCATCTGCACCTGAAGACAATACAGTTCTGACTCATGGAACGCTGAGCGGGAGCCAATAAGGCCGACTCGGCTTTCCTCAACGAGCTCCTGATCACTGAGAACGAGCGTGAGCGTCTCGCGGCGGCGATGAATGCGAGTATTTGGAGGAAGCTCAACGCGTGACGACTCATAATTAGCCTCCGCCTGCACTCATTGCGCGGATCAAAACGGCACGGAAGCAGACGGCGTTTGTGTTTGACTCCGTTCACTAGATCCATTCATTCCCCGGTCTCCGTCTCACTTGAATTTCAGTTCGGTTGGCGTTGAGTGGAGCGTTAGCGGAGCCTTTAGAAAACTCCTTACTGCATAATTAATACTTCAGTCGCTGGGGCGCTTTGCGAGGAGAGTTTCTTCTTCATGCTTCACGTTGGGCGCCGAGGCCCAAATGCAGAATTTAAAACCACGAAATAGGTTGGACTAAGAAAAGAAGTTGGTCCCGCGGAGGCCGGTGTTAATTAAAACATTGTCGCCTCCGAAATAAGACACAAGCACGCTGTAAAACTAAAGCCCGACCGGATGCGTGTTTAAATGCAGCACCCGACCACGAGATTCTCCTCCTTTTGCCTCCTTGGGATTTCTCCGAGCTAAGCATGTGATGCTAGGGGGGGGCATTTGTTAAAAGGCGTGACCCGGAGGGGGGAGGGCTTATGTTACATTACGACACTTCCCCCGGGCTTTCGTACTCCCGGTGAACGCTGACTCGAGGTTATATGTCAACAAAATCGAAGCTTTGCAGAAATCTGATGTTTCACTAGCTTGACTTGCCTTTTTCAGGTCGGGGCGTGGGGGGCCTGTTCAAATGTCACCATCTTCCTGTGTCCCTTTTTTTTTGTGTCGCCTCTGGTGTGACATCACCGCATGAGGCCCGGTTTGTGCCACGTGGTCCCACATCGATCACTTCGTCACTGCCTTTTTGACCACGACAACACACGCCCGAGCCGTCGTCCGAGCCGCGTCCAGATGGACCCGCGCGCCCTTTGTTTCCCGCTGTGAAGAACGTGACCGTGATCATTCAATGGATAACCCTTCTTCCACACTCACCTCACGCCTTCGTGTCTCTGTTCATTGTCGCTGACCCCCGTCGGCACACAGTGCACCTTCAGACAACACAACTTAATTCGCTGTCTTATCTGGATTAATAAAGTCGGAGACACGTCGGGCGCCGTGCTAGTTATTGGGATCAGAGAGAGCAGCCGGGACGCCGCACGATGGGGATTCAGCGCGATGCTTTATTTGAAATTAGACGGCAGTCTGTGCAATGTTACCTCGTGTTTCGGAGGCAAACGAGAAGCTAAAGTAGAGCGGTGAACAAACGGAGACGTGGTGGCATGCTTTTTAATTGTTTGGTCAAGTCGTGACATTCTGCTGTAGAAGTCGGTTTAAAATGTCCAAACCACAGAACATCTTGTGTTGGACGCTTTGTTATTTTTTTCCCTGCATGAGGCGCCTGCAGATGGGAAGTCAATTGCATGACTCACTTCTTCTCCCGGTGAAATGCACCACAATCGTGGGAGAAGCACCTCTCCTGCCGTGAACGAATCCCTTGAAGACTTTGGTGTCCACGTTGAGACCGAGGGACGAGCGGCTAGTCGGTCTGCAAATGCGCGTAGCAAAACATCTCGCTAGCCGTTGCGCACCAAGGGGGGGGGTGATCGGCACAGCGGTGCCTCCACATGCACGCTGCAGGGCCGTTTCCCTGGAACACTTGAATTACCAGGTCTCATCTGTGAGGCGTGAGAAGACTGTAAATAAACATCCCTGACTAGTTTCAATTTTGTCTTCAGTTATCTTAATACGTTTTTTAATAATTCATTCTGTATTGGGAACATTTACACATGTTTTTCATTATTATAAATAGGCTAAAGTTATTGCAAAAGTACCAATGTTTAGGGTTCCTCATGGTGCAGATATACGGAAAAACCCACCCGGCCTTTGTGAATGACTGCACAATAGCGGCATATTTGGAGAGACATTGTTTAGCCCACCATACATTTACTAAAAGTCCACAGGACAGATAGAAGGGAATTGCTTGATTTTAATGATAAAAAGGACGGACAAATGAGTTGGGTGGAGATTGCTTGCTTCTAATATAATATAATGCATAATATAATGTAATCATCCAAACACACTTAGCTCTATATTCGGCTCCTTAGTTTCCTCCGGGCCAAAGATTTCTATTACACATCTGTTGTCTCTCACCAACTGATTTCAGTACAGCTGCGACGTTTGACATAAAGCAGATGTGGCAAAAGTTTGCATCAATGATTTACTTATTGCAGCTCACAGTGTGATGATTATAAGACTATTATAAGATACGCGCAGGGAAGCAACAGCACCAGTCTCCCTTTCATCCAAATCATCAAAACCAGTCGTTCAAGCCTCTTAATTCTTTCAAATAGAACATTAATCAGTTCAAAAACAGTCTTGATCCTTAATTAATCGTCAATTTTAGAAAATTGTTGTTGTTATTTATCAAAATAGCTGTATCTGACACCATATCAGCTGTTTGTCCCTGCTGTTTGAGTTGGTATCCGGCCATGTCAGTGTTGTTGAATTAATAAGTAAAATAGACTCTATATTGATTCTAAACATTAAAAGACATTTGTCACCTTGGACTGAGCATCATGGCACTTTGAGCAGTGACCTACTTGGGGGAATGATAGCGGCGTATGTTTTACAGACCCTCCCTCTGCGAATGCACGTTCCAGTCCACCGACGCTGAAACCCAAACAGAACCCGCCCCCGTCCTTTGAATTCAAATTAGCACAGCTGCGTTCTTTTCACTTTCAATTATCTTCTTTGAGGAAAATAATGGCCGCATTAGCCATCCGAGTAATACCCATCAAATTCTGAAAGCGCGTTTAATTGCAGGATGGTTGTTGTTGCCACCGGAGGAGATATTTCGATTAATCTTTTCTTTAATGGCTTCACAGCCTGCGGCCGGAAGCAAGAAGTACAACGCGACAACTTTTGTCATTTGTGAAATTCAACGGACAAAGTGTGCAAAGTGGGAGCCATTCGTAGTTCTTACCCCAGTGTAACCCAGTTGCCTGCTGAGGTCCGTGCACTATCCCAACCCTTGTTTCAAGTCCCCAGCTAAATTATCTAAAGATCTACTTTAATCTACAGGAATCATCTGCAGCAGAAGCGCTTATCTAAATATGTTAAGCGAAATTTCTGCACGAGCCACAAATGTGCGTGACACAGAAAAAGCTCAGATGCCTTTTCTTGCCCCCCCTGGCAGTTCCCTGAATAGAGTCAATTCACAGAGGGGAAAAAGATCTTCAGCACAGTTCGTCAAATGTGTACTTGAGTTCTAATCCCCTCATTTATTCTGCCGTTTAATGCAACGGCCTGACATTTTAACATTAACATTGAGAAAGGCGAAGGACATAATCAAATACATGACAACAAACAGATATTTACCTTCAGCTCAGAGCAGAGTTCAGACAGTGTTGTGTGACTTGGCTTTTGGGTTCACGCCTCAGAGCCGGTTCGCTCCGAAAAAGCATCAGCACCTCTGACCAAAATGTACCACACAGCAGATGCGACGAGAGCAGGACAGTGTTACTGTTTCGTCTGGAGTGGTCTGGCTGCCATGATGGTTCTGATCAAACCCGGGTCAATCGGGGGGCTTGGGAACAGTTTCATTCATGGGAAAGATGCTGGCATGTGCGTGCTGACGGGTTCGGAGCACTTGAGACTAACGTTGTATGATCTGAAATAAATAAACGTGCTATTTGGAGTTTTCCATTATCCTGCTCACAGGGAATGCTTTTTTTTTTTAACTTGCTTTTATGCGTGATTTACTTTACATATTAATCTGTCACGGACGGTCTTGTGGTATGTGTTGTTGGGGAGAATATATCACTGGACAATAATAAAAGTAGAAATATGTTTTTCGAAGAAGAAAATAAGATATTTCGCTGAAACACTTACTCTGAAGCCTCAGAGGAAATCACTTAAAAGGGCAAATAAATCACGACCCAAAGACTAAAAACAGACAAATACAAATTCACTTCTTGGGTGGCGCCCTCTTGTAAACCGTCCGACGTCCGTGCAGACGACACAGCAGGTTCTGCTCCGTTTCTTGCCTAATTATAGAACAATCGGAGCGCGATGAGCTTCCAGATTCCCACGCCGCCGAGGCGTGTCCCACTTCCCCGCGTCGCCGTGCTGGCAGGAGGACATCTCGAATGGGGCCTCGAAGGAGCGCCAGCTGCAACCGCTGCCCCAGGTGTGCGGCGCGCCGCGACCTTCCGTCATCTCCGCTGCTGATTGAAAGTCCTTTAGAACAGAAAGACCCCCTTCAACTGGCTGTTTGTCGCATAACAGCGTGAAGCAAGCGGGCGGTCTTACAACAAGCTTCGGGGCGGCGGCTCTGCGGCCCGAGGAGGTGCGCGCCCAAGCAGTCGCGTCATCAGGAGGAGATGACCCGCGGGGTGCAAACGCAGCGCGGACGACAAATTCAATCAAAGTGTGTTATTGGTGCACGAGTGTCGCAATCAGCCGAGCGTGACGGCTCATATGCAACGAAGGGGAGGAAGTTTCCGAATACCCAATTGAAGGGCCGGTCCGCGTTGAATGAATCACGTATACGGAACATCTGCTGATTTATCTCGAGGAACGAGTGTCCGGCCTTCCATCCCTCGAGCGAACGTAATTTAAAAGCGGGGGGAGTCGGTCTCGGCGGCTGGCGGAGGAGGCAATTTCAGTGGGAAATTGCACATTTCTCTGATTTTCTTAAGCATCTTCACACTGTGGGAGCGTGGACGGTGCTCGGCCGCTCCAGCCTTGTTAGCGCCTCCGCTCGGGAGCCCTGTGCCTGCAATTCAAACCCAGGAATGAAATAAAACAATAACATAACAGTTCAGAGAACAGCCCTTTCCATGCGTATAGTGCACAGATGGTCGGCGGGAAATGTGCCAGTGGAACGGCTCACGGCGACAAAACCAACAACCTGCTCCCCTTCCTCTATTTCAACACTGCTTTCTACCGCTAAATGTTATATTAGTGTCATATATTTTTTTTGGAGCGCTGACTGACACTTTCTCAAAACACCAATTACTGTCTTGTGAAGTCACTGCTGAATATAATCCCCCACTGATTCAACCGGCCCCCCGGGGGCCGCAAACACAGCTGCTACTCTGCAGAGACAGTCAGGTAAAAAAAAAAAAAAAAACACGGCTTGCTTGATTATGTGGAGGGGAATCACATCCAAGGACGTTTAAACACAAACCGTGAGACATCGCTTCTCGTCGAGTGGCTGTTCATCGCTCGGTTGCCAACAACGCACAGAGAACTCTGTGAATCCCACATGACAGCTGATCAATGAGCATAACGGAGCGGCCCAGAAACAAGCAAAGCTCCACTCTGATCAGGCGGTGCCTTCCGCTCCGCCGGGCAACTACTTAGGCAGTAGATCACTGTGCTTTAAAAGGCAATACTTTTACATTTTCCTCCACGAGCAGCACAAAGCGACGTCTATGAACACAAGCAGGCGCTGCTCTGTTTCCAGCTGCCGCGAGCACTGTTCAAATGTCACATGGCGTAACGTCAGTACGAACGCTAAGGGTCTTTTTCCTGCTCCGAGAGCCGCTGTGGGCATTTCTGAGGTAAAGGTTCTCCTCGCTTGTTGACTGCAAACACAATAGTAAACAACTAAACCCAACAAGGAAAGAAAAATGCATTGTTCTGAGCATTGTTATTCACTCATCTGTTCATGTGGTTATGGTAATATCTTAGTAAGACTATGGTCATATGCTTTAAAGTTGATTATGGAATGCAGGTTTTAATATGTACATATATATATGCAGACAAACTGACGGTACCCAGCATGGATAAAATGTGCATTTCTGAATCTCAAACAGTGGACTGAGCTCTTAAAAATTGCAAGGACGTTCTTGCCCACACACTTTGCACACAATCGCCAACCTTGCTGTTGAATTCAGGTGTGAGGTCTGAAGGCACCAACTATTAGAAGAGACCAACCAGTGATTTGCAACACTTACGGTACACTTTTCACTCTTCTCTCTCTCTCGCAGGGAGCGCGTACAGGGAATGCATGGACAACGGCACCTGGGCCTTGAAGAGCAATTACTCCAATTGTGAACCCATTTTGGAGGAGAAGGTTAGCGAAGCGCCGTGAGAGCTGCGTCCTTTCTTCTGTCAACAATCTGTTAAGCATCCTGGATAAATCCCCATCACAGCTTGTCATAATTACGCTAATAGCACACATGGAATACCAATCAGACGTAGCGAGAGTAATGTGTGTGTGTGTGTGTGTGTGTCTCTGGAGGACACTTAGCTGAAGTGCTGATTTCTTGTGTTTCTGCGCCGCGCAGTTTAACTATAACGTCGGTTTGCAGACATGGCGTGTAATGAGTTTTGGCCTTAATACCAAACTCGCATCGCGCCTCCTCACTTCTGGAGCTCGCTCCCATTTTCTCAGATAATTGGAAGCCGTGACATCTGAAGTGGGCCGCCGATATATCTGTGCTTTCTCTCGCTTTGGTTAAACCTCAAAACCACATGACAGGAGGAAGCATGTGCTGTCTGCAGGGTCCTATACATGTAACATTTTCCTCCGAACCTCTTGTTCTTGTTTTATTATCAATCAGTTGCACTGAAGAGTGACTCATGCGTTGTCATTCAGAGAAAATATCCGATGCATTACAAAATTGCGCTGATTATCAACTACCTGGGTCATTGCATCTCGGTGGGAGCTCTCGTCGTGGCCTTCGTTCTCTTCTTGTGCTTAAGGCAAGTACAGAAATAGTTCCGCTCTGAATGTGCGCTGCATGCGCGAGACCTCGCGGAGGACAATCAAGGAAATTCATGTGATATCGTCGGACTGCACATCATTAACTCACTTATGCACAAAGGACTAGATGCGGCTCAGCTCGAGATGGAAACAGTGTGCAGTGTACAAGTACAAAATAGTCTTAAAACAAGGAGCGAAATAGCGAGTTAAGAATAATCACTTTGAACTCCAGATTAAAAAGCATCATCATAACTCTGGGAATTGCTTGATAATCCCCACATTTTCTTCCTCAGTAAGGAAAGAATCTGTTGGTAGTCGTCTGTGTGCACAGGGAAAGCGGCCACTCGGGATGGATCGATACATGAAATAATGTAATGAATTATTCAACACAGACATGCAAACTGTTCACGTGTAATATTGGAGCCTCCAGCCTGCAGACAGTTTTATATAAAATAATGTTGAATGTGAAGTTTCTTTGAGGAACCTGAAGATGACTAATGTTTCTCATTCGGCTGGTGCTGAAGGAGCATACGATGTCTTCGAAACATCATCCACTGGAACTTGATCACCACGTTCATACTGAGGAACGTCATGTGGTTTTTGCTTCAGTTGATCGACCACAACATCCACGAGAGCAATGAGGTACAAGCTGTGTCACACACACACACACACACACACACACACACACACACACACACACACACACACACACACACACACACACTGCATTTACGTCATAAAGCAGAAGCTTTAAGATATGCTCTATGTTATATGATATAACTCAGTCTTGTGTTGTTGTTTCTTTCAGCCCTGGTGTAGATTAATTACAACCATATACAACTACTTTGTGGTGACAAACTTCTTCTGGATGTTTGTTGAGGGATGTTACCTTCACACGGCCATCGTGATGACTTACTCCACCGATAAGCTCAGGAAGTGGGTCTTCCTTTTCATCGGCTGGTGTGAGTATGTCTGCGTTGTTCACGCACCGACAGGTTGATTCTCGCTGGATCAGTAAAACTGCTTTTGTCTACAAGGAATCGCACCAAAGCACCACTTTAAATATTTTATTTACCTCACGAGCTTGAGTTGGCCGGGGCCACAAATTTATTTTGCTTTTAGAGCCATCAATCCCGACACGTTATCTGCTCGGATGTCATCATTGAATTTCCACCAGCGATTTATTTATCACGATTGTTTGAAAGTGTAGTCGGCGCGTGAAAGTGGAGGGCGACGTTTAGTGCTCCAGACTTCTAGTTTATTCTCATTTAAAGAGAACACAGCTCCAGTGAAGTGGGCGAAATGTAATTGTTTGAGCTCGACTTCCAGTGAGAGAATGAGTTTTTGAACACGCACTGCAGCCGAGGCAACGTATGACCACATGAATTATCAATGCTCACCTCCACTCAGACTACTGGACGGCATGACGACAGAGTATTCCACCTTCAGGCAAAGGGAAAACCACGGAAGCGTGCTCATGTGCTTCCCTGAGTCCGACGTGCTCCTCTGTCTAATGGACATTGTGTGTTCTCAGATGAAGGAAACTATAAACACACTTTAATTCATCATTCAAGTCAAACTAAACAACTCCGATTTATGAACACGGGAATGGAAAAGTAAAAAAAAAAGATGAAAGAACACATGATAAGCGATGATGACACATGGATGTGACCTGATCGGGGAGCCCATGTTGATTTTAAAATAGAAACAACCAAAGGCAGATATCAATCATATCAATGTGGTTCAATTGGTGTAATTAGAATATGAAGAATATGACAGCTTCTCCTTGTGATGATTAGTCACAGTGACTAATCACGATTGTGTGGTTTTGTTTCATTAAATACGTGAACCCAAGTGACCCAGACGATGTATTCTTGGTGATATCTCATCTGGGAAAAGTTGATATCATCATTTATATCGGAAATGGAAAACCTGTGTTGGTGCAGCAAAGAACACATCGCTTGATGGTTAGAAACAGATGAAAGAATAATGTAGCCGTAGTTAACTAATAGAATAGTTTGTAGTTTAGGGAGTATACAGACTATAATATAAATACAATCTGTATAAATGATGTACTTTCTTCTCTCCTGCATTGTGCGAATATAGAGAAAGAGAATATTTAAGTCTCGAGAGATTGTTAATGAAGCCGTTGAGGAAATGTGGAAGTGGGTCAGATTAAATTTGTCAGATGGGATCGAAATAGGTTCACCGTTTTTCAGCTGCAGTGAAAGTTAAAGAAAAAATCAGGTGAATTCTCCCTAAAAGTTTTGTCTTTAGGCCTCAAGACAAAAGGATTGGAGAGCTTAACAAAAACAGACCGGCACTTTATTCATAACATTTGGTTTTAATTATGTAAATCTATACTGGTCCTTTATGCGTCTGTTTATGTCTATGAAGAAACGCTGTTACTTCACTTTCTTCTCTCTTTGGAATTACCTTAATCCCCACAAACCAATATAATTATGTGGCTAATATATAAATACATATATATATATATATATATATATATATATATATATATATATATATATATATATATATATATTTTAATTATATATTCTGTGGTTTTCCCCCTCATTATTCGGACCTCCTCCAGTGACGTTGAGAAGAAAGCTGTTGGACTGCTACATTCATGTTTTTTGTCATTTCTCCCCTCCAGGTATCCCGTGCCCTATAATAATAGCTTGGGCCGTAGGAAAGTTATATTATGAAAATGAACAGTAAGTATCGAAGCAATTACGCTGCCCAATATTTTCCGTGAACCTTCCGCTGTTGATCGTTGCTTCTCTGCCGTCCACAGATGTTGGTTTGGTAAAGAACCTGGGAAATACATGGACTACATCTACCAGGGCCCCGTTATCCTCGTGCTCCTGGTGAGCGGCTGCTGTTATTTTCCACATGATTAAGAAACCTTCATTCACGCGACACACAGCGACATTACGACGCTTGAGAGGGTGAACTGATGAAAGAAACGCGCCCTGAAATGAAAACGGTTTTATAATGGAAGCCATTTCCAGCGAGTGTCTTCGTTCCGCTAATGGTTTACTACCAAACGTTACCAGCATGTGGCAGTTTGGCAACTAATTCTTGTTGGGGTGTCATTGTTTATTCCTCCATCATCAGTATTTAATGACCAGCGGATGTTTGCTGCAGAAAGTTCCTCGACGCTGATTATCTTGTGTGTGTTTTGCTTTTTCTAGATAAACTTTGTTTTCCTCTTCAACATTGTAAGAATCCTCATGACCAAACTGAGAGCCTCAACCACCTCTGAAACGATACAGTACAGGTGAGCCAACGAATTATAGAAATAACATTAACCTTCGTAATGACCGTCCTTCTGACTCGATTACAACCAAATCTCCTCAGGGAGACGCTAGAGATGATCGATGATCGATCTCACGGATTCTGCATTTGAAGTCAATGCAAACGGATTTCACTTGATTCGGCGCATTGTCATTTATTTTATCATACATGTTTTGTGTGTCCTGTGAGCCTCGCCGGTCGTCGTGTGTTTTGCTCTCTGCCCTTTGATGACTGTGAAGCGCGGTCCGTCCTCCTCGGTGGGGGGGTTACTCGCAGTGTGTCTGCGTAGTCGCAGCTCACACAACTTGAATTCAGGCTTCACAGGCTGCAGTGGGGATTCGCGGCGTGACAGATATGCTGACGTGAGCCGTGCGGATTTAAGTGAGTGGGGAACGAGAGCGCCTGGCAGAAACTGTTCAAGTAGAAAATAAGATGGTTTCCTCAATGTGCTGTCGGAGTTGCCAGAAATGGCTTTTTCTCTGTTGCGTATTTAGCTTGCTCTGCACAGCTTGTGTCATCATGGAGCTGCAGGACCCTCAACATCTAAATGAAAATCACACGACTGGTTATTGGTGCAAACTCAGGCTTGATGACATCACTGCAGACCGGGTGGTCTGCAAAACACAGATATTTCTAAATGAAGTTAGTTATCTTAAAAAATAATACCGTGGTGATATTTTGATATTTGAGAGTCCAAAATACCTTGTTTCCAAAATCGACTAATTCGAGTAATTTCCCAAATGAAGGTGCTGATTTTCCGTCCCTGTCTTCACAGGAAAGCGGTGAAAGCGACGCTGGTCCTGCTGCCTCTGCTGGGCATCACCTACATGCTGTTCTTTGTGAATCCGGGGGAGGACGACATCTCACAAATCGTTTTCATCTATTTCAACTCCTTTTTGCAGTCCTTTCAGGTGAGGCCCGAAGACGGCGACGCCGTGTGACACACAGCGGCGCTTCTTACGCCGCCAACCAGCCTTCCGGTAGGAAGGTGATGATTGGAAGTAGCAACGTGCTCAGACCTGCTGCTATAAACACAGAGCACAGGAACGTTGTTTCTTCTCTGCTTAACTGAGTGAATGGGACTATGGGGGGGGGGGGGGGTTCATCCAAAGCTGCTATAAGGTTTTAGGAGAATTGTAGTTGGCACGACTTCATTTAACACCTAACTTTTGTTTCTTCGCCATGATCTGAATTCTCTGATTAAACATCACACTTGCATGTATTTATTACTAATGTGTCGTTTTGCTCTGCAGGGGTTCTTTGTGTCAGTGTTTTACTGCTTCCTGAATGGAGAGGTGAGATTTTGTGGATTTCCTCCATCCGTTAAGTTGTGTCTGTTTTACCTTTCTACTTATATGCATCTCTGCTAAATGAAAGCAGTGGGTGGGATCAGGTTCCTTTCATGAGGAAAAACACACACTGAGGTATCCTGTTACCAATTACATGTTTGATTAGATATTGAAACAAAAACTTCATCATCATCATCTAATTACAACCAAAGTAAATTGCTCCAATTTAAAGCCAATAATACCGTAACGATATGTAAATAAAAATGATTTTTCTGTAATTGTGATGATGTGAAAATGAAAGAATTTTCCTCGGATGATTGAAAGAGAAAAGTGGTTAATTTGATGAGGAATCGGGAAGAATGTGAGTCACACATTATTGGTTTATAATTTCATCTTTGGCAACAGAAATCATGTGGCAGTGAGAGAGCTTTGAGTTTTGGACATTTAGATTCTTGTACTCGGTGCCCAAAGAGAAGTTTTCTTGGCTGCATAAAATTATCTTCTCGTCCTGCACTGATTTAAAACGGTAAACAAGACGATAATAGGACTTTGTTTGGGGAAGAGCTTTCCTCTTTTCTCCTCGTGATCATTTGAAAAGATTATATTCATTATATTGCTTTCTAATAATCTAATTGATGATACGTTCTGTCTGAATTCTCTGGAGGATGCAACACAAACGGAATAGTTGTTATAAAGAAATAGTGTTCGTTCAGGATGAAACGTCTGGTTAGCTTAGCATGACTGGAAGCAGTTAGCCCGATTCTGTCACAACCTGTTTTAATATGTAGGGAGGTTTGGATAGAACAAGACAAGCTTCCATGCCGCTTTAATGTAGATCCATATTGACTAATACCACCGAGTGTGATATCTATCTCCATCCTTCCTCTCTCGTAACCATGACGTCACTGTCTTATCGACCCTCGGCGTCTCAGGTACGTTCTGCAGTCAGGAAAAGGTGGCACCGCTGGCAGGACAACCACGCCCTCCGAGTGCGAGTGGCCCGCGCCATGTCCATCCCCACGTCGCCCACCAGGATGAGCTTCCACAGCATCAAGCAGACCACAGCTGTGTGAGCGGCCTCCACCGAGTCCCGGGTCCCACGTGGAATGTGGCCGGTGGGCCGGCCTCCTTTTTGTCCGCCGGTAACATATTTGTGTCCGTTTTAGCAACACAGGAAGTAAAATAGACACTTAAATTCTTCCCCCGTAACATATTGTACACGAGTCGGGGAGTTTGGATTTAAAAAGAGCCGTCCTATTGCAGCGGGTCTTATCTCGCAGCGCTCCGGTTGCTGTGATCTTACTGCTTAGTGGCTGCGATAATCCTGCAGGATTTGCAGGAGAAAACGTCGACAGCGGAAACCCTTTTAGACATCAGCTCCTGTTGTCACTCAGTGGAAGGGCAACACGGCATACTTGGAATTCAGTCAGATGCATTGAATACAGATCTGAATTTGGTCCAACGAATATCATAAAACTGCCACACTGCTCTTTGAATGAACTGCTCTCCGCCATCGACATCGATTTTACACAGATGTGGAGGAGGATTATGGCTGAATTAAATATGAAACAACTTTATTGTATAAAAAAGGAAAACCATCCGAAAAGAGGCCAAATACACCTTTTAAGACTTATTATTAATAGTAATCATCAAAAAATCAGTGGTAATAACCTGGTAAATGTGAGCTGGGTTAATAGAAGCCATTGTAATGCCTTTATAATGTGTCTTAATGTGAGCCATCTCCTCTAAGGCCGTATTCTTTTATAATGTGTCGCATTTTCGGTCTCGTACTGTACTATCGTAGTCAAAATACTTCAGCTTCCTCCCGTTTGTTGTCCTGGAACACAGATAACACAGCTACATATTACCCATATCTCCAAAAAGGAATAACAAGCGGTTATCTTGGTTTCTTTAAGCTTCATCGGGATAACATCCGCTTGTTCCACTGTGGGCTCTTGGTTGCGGGTGTCGTGTAGCAGATCTAATATTTCAGCACCGTGTGGTAAAATGTACATATTCACGTTTGCGTTCGGTATGTTTTTTGTTACATTAAAGCAGCCTTTGTTGTTGTTGTTGTTGTTGTTGATCCTTGTGTGCTGCTCGACAGGACTGATCAGTGATTTCCATCAATTTATTGCAGAATTTAAGAAGTTTCCAAAACTCGTGGAGCCGTAACAGCGCACAACCCTCCCCGACCTTGTCATGTTATGTAAATATAAAAGAGGACTTTGTCTAGTATTTTCATACCGAAGTGAGGAAACAAACGCTTTCTTCAAAACTCAACTCGCCAAAGAGAGAAACCATGTTTACCAGCATCCAGATGTGTTGTTGCCACTGCACTTTGTAGACCAAGTGGCGTCAGCTTTATTTTGTTCACCATTTATCGTACGTGATGAAATGCATCCGATGCAGTGTGTGATTTGTTAGTTACTGTACGTGAACACATTGGACTTTATGTAAAGATATTTATTCAACCACCCATGTTGCCTTACACAAACAAAAGAAAACGCTCTTTTGTGCATATCTGTGCGTGTCATTGTGTAACTGTTCCATTCGTACATGCACATGTGAAAGCGACAATAATGCTTTGAATTAAAACTATTCCCGTAAATTTGTCTCGTTGGCTTTTCATGACCTTGTAAACCTGAACTTCGACGCCCGATCCGTGTTGAGAAGACTCCATGATGCAAAACGTCTACTCGGTTACGCTGAGCAACCGGCCGTTGGTTGCAGATACACTAATGAGATCGGTTTAGTTCATTCATTTGTTTTTCACCTCCCATAACGCCGAGCGCTGGAGCGCAGCCGTGTAATCATTCACACTATTGCAGCTTAAGTAAATGCCTTACTTGTAAATATACAGTAGTTCCGGATAGTTCCTGCGTGATGTGAGCGCGGCGGAGCAGAAACCGCAGCCCGCGGGCCCAGAACCCCCGAGGACTTTATGAGTTATATACTTTCCCAAACAATTAGCTGAGCCTTTGACGCAGACTAATAAAAGCTTGTTGTGACTGTCGGGGCTTTTGACGGTTGACAGAAGCGTGAAAGGAGGTTCTGAACCCGCGGCGGAGGCAAGCAGCACATCTGCGCAGCGTTTGGGGTCGTCTGCTCCTTTGTGTTGATACTAAACTGCATTTCGCAGGTCATCGCCTCTGCTAAAAAATGTATCGCCAACTCTTAATTTCTCATGCTATGACAGCGGGTTTCCCATTACACTGTAGGAAAGGAAATAAAGCAGCACAACCAAGTTCAGACCGATTTGGTAGCGTGTGGTTCTGAAAAGTTTAAGAAAGGAGATTTTTTTAAGAACCCTTTCAATTTAAGAAGTAAACATTTACTTTTTTGTCATTTGCACATGTTGCTCCGCCTGTGAAGACGTCTTTAAAATAAATTCTGTGGCCATCGAGGAGCTTTGTCCAGAATGTATGAAACCCCTCAGTTTTGTTGTGCTGCAACCTAAAATTAACAATGGAAATGTTGTATTTGCATGTCAGACCAAACCCTTTTTGGGTTATGATTATTAAGCAAATCATTGTTTCTTTGATACAGATATGAGGCTTTGCATGCTCCTCTTGTGTTAGTTTTAAGTTGCGTTTGTGCAGGAAACTAGCAACCTGATCTTGAGGGTGCAACACGTTTCCTATTTCACACTCACGTCTCTCTCGTCTTTTCCGATCCTCGTCCTCATGCTCGGCCCTCGTCAACCTCGCTCACTTGATTGTCCGGTTTTCAACCCTGTAGAGTCTTTGAATTGAACAAAGCTTGAACTCATTAAGTGGGTTTAAATCCGCCTCGAGGCGTTACATGATCGAGTGCACAGATGTTGCATTTGAATTTAATCTGGGCCCCGCCGGGCGCCACTATTTCCCCCTGAGCCGTGATTTCCTTGCTGTGTTAGATGGTGACCGATTGGTGCTTTTCATCAAGGGCATGTCCACGCCTCGCTCCGCTGACCTGTTCCCCAGTCACAGATCAATAGCACCAGGCCACATATTTTATTTTAAAACCTTTTTTTCCCTTCTTGATTTAAAGCCTTTTGGAGGCAACTGTGCTTATGGGAACTTACAATGCAAAAAAAAATAGTTTTGTCATGATTTGGTGTTAAATGACTATGATCACATTTTTTTGCTGTTACATTATTATTACATCATTATCATTATTAGAACAAAATGCCCCTCCCCCCATTGGTTACATCAAAGCAACTAAGAAACAAACACGCCTTCACTGATGGGAAACATGATTAAATACTCAATAAATACGGCTGTGACAGAGAATGTCAGAGGAATTCCACTGGAGTAACGCAGCGGTTGCGTGGTGATGACATCTGAGTCTAATTCATTACGTTAAACAAGGTCGTCGCATGAGGACATTTCATTTCAGCCTCGGGGAGCTGAAGTTGAGCACAGAAAGTGCACTTTATGAGGAAAAGCGTTGCTCACGTGAGATAAATGATTCCATTACGATACCACAGCTTTGCTGCATCACTCGTCCGACTGCAGTTGACACGGAATTCCCCAGCAAATTCACACCAGGGCCGTCCAGGGGGGTCCGGTGGGAAATTTGCCTTACACGGATAATATCTAGACGTTTAGGCTGACACTGATGCTGGAAGAGGGAAATACAATACTTGCCGGGGGAAGAAGAAGTGCTTGAAAAAGATATTTGTTATGTTAAGAATTACAAAAGATGGGGTGGATTTCTTTAAGAATGCGTTCATCTCTGAAGTGACACCGAACATGTCTGGATACGAGGTGTAAGTGTAAACATTTGTAGTTATTTGATCCTAAATCACAATCGTTTTTCTTGCCTAAAGTTGCTGCTTATTAGCTGGAAAACGATCGGTTCCACGGTCTCATACGTAAGGTGGTATGAGGAGAAATGAAACTGTGTCTAAAAGGGTCAAGTGAATTGGGTCAAATAGGAACCGGCAGAAAAGAAGATCAGGTGGGTCCCAACACGAGGGCAAAGCTCCAGAGAGGAGCTCAATAGGACGGCGTATAAATAGCGTGTGACCTTTGGCGTTATTTGGGGTGTCACTTGAAAGTCTAGTTGATACCAGCTCCTTAAATTGAAACAAATATCATTATTTCTCTAACCGCTAATCGATCTGCAGAATACTTCAATATTACTTACTAGCTAACATGTGTATGAATCACACACACAATATCGTTGTATCTCACACACTATGCATTGCCCCCCTCAACCTACTTAATGCCCCGGCCGGATACGCCCATCGGCGCTGGTGTGGACCGAAATTAAACTGCAGTCCACATGTAATCGGTAATGTTTCTCCGTGTGCAACGTGACCTGGCTTGTGTTTGTGCAGGTTGCTCAGGCAAATAATGAGTGATCGTAGAAGGAGTCAGGGGAGGCCGTCACCAAGGTCACCAAGGTCACCAAGGTCACCACTTGCTGCAGTCGGTCCTGATTGTTGCAGTGTGAACAAACTCAGCACTGTGAGTGGTAATAAGTTGTGTCTGCAGAGTTTTTCGCTCGGGTTCTATGTTTATGTGTCTTATTTTCTGATTATTTAAGGTTTTAAGAAAATTCGGATCATATTTTCTTTATTTACCCTCCCACCACGCAGTAAAAATCATACATAATTTCAAACAACGGTGGACACATAACAACCACAAGAAGACGGGTTTTGTGGGTTGTAAAAGGCCAATTTTATAGGTTTTTAATGCTCGTAATGATAAAAACAGTTTAAACTGTACAGAGGAAAAAACTTTTTATTATTTATATTTATTAATGAATTTTTCTTCTAATGTCAGTTTACAAATGTTCCATTGCCTTGATCAGATGTCCTTGTCATGTTAAACTGTTGGAATACATGTTAAATATTTAACTATTTAAGTAATAATGCATGTTTGATATGTTTTTTATTCCATTGAACCATACTGGCATGTTTACTGATTTGCTGGCCCTGACAAAACAAAGAGCCACCAGCCGCCACTGGTCATCTTCCTCTTTTCTTCTCCTGGTGTGTTGCTGCCACCAGCTGTGAGTCAGTGGAACATCATCAGGGGTTTAGAAGGTGACCTTTAAGTGGGACCTTTCCTCCAGGGCAGCGTGACGTGTGTGAGATCCATTTCTTCATTGGTGCTTCTTGAAGTCCACGAGGTGAACAGTGATGACGGCAGACACCATGATGATCAGACCCACAGAGATCACAACAGTCCTCAACAGGAGAGCGGAAAGCACCGGACCTGAAACACATCACAGGTGCATTCATCACAAACACAACACATCTGTGCTTTCTGCTTGAGTTTGTATTGAACCCGACGAGGAGCTTTAGAGATGCTCAGAACTCAGAATTCACTCAGAAAACACACAATAGATTCTTTAAAACAGAGAAAGGCTGAAACGCAAAAACTGTTATCAGAAAGTAGTTTTCTCTTTCAGTCGTACCAGGATGTTCGGGGCAAAAGTGTTCAGTCGTGTTAAAGTCGTGGGTCCAGTGAACCTGGTTGCTATGGTTACAGATGATGGTGCTGTTCAACAGGTAGACCTGGAGAGAAGCCCCAGAGGTCGTGACCTCTGATCGCTCTCCTCCCTCCTGACTGCAGACCCGGTCGACACATCTGAAAGTGCTGCTGATGTTTGAGTTGTGAGTCCTGCAGGTCACATGGAGGTCACATGACTCTGAGCTGTTGGAGTCCACTCGGTCCACAATCAGTTCAACTGGAGTCACTGGTCCTGAGGGAGGGGGGGTTACTGTGAAGAGTTCATGAGACATGGAGGCAAAAACTCTGTTTACAGACTCACCTTGAACTGTGACCTTGTATTCAGCTACTAGTTTGTCTCCTGTAAATGTAAACGCCTCAGCAGCATAAAGTCCACTGTCGGCCTCTTGTAGATTCTTCAATGTCACAGAGAAGTTTTTCTCAGGAAACTCAAGCCTTCCAGTGGAATTTTCATGGACAATTGGTTCCCCACTGGGTTCAAATCTTACTAAAGTGACTGTTTTATTGAATTTCCAGTCAACAAAATCAAACTCCTCAGGAAGATCAGCGTCAAACTTCAGGAGCAGATCACGTCCCTTCAGCACAAACACAGGAGTCACAATGATTCCTGTAAAAACAGTAGACACATGATACAATAAACATCACACACAATATATGATGAATCATTCACTGCTGAATGTTACTCCATCACTACACTTTATTTATTACACATTGAACCAGCGGTTCACCTTCAGCTCATCATGACCTCTCAATGGTTTATTTAAATGTCTCACTCAGGACTCTGACTAAGGAGGTGGAACAATTGTTTTTAAGTTGTATTTCCAATTTCAAATAAAAAACCTTTGGACTTTCTTTCCTCTTGTCCCTTGTCCTTCATCCCTCTCTAACCCAACTATTGTTCCTCAAGCTTTAATCAGAGGAGCCATGAATGTATTTAGAAAATCAGTAACGCTCTTGTGATTGTTCACTAACTTTTCTGGTTCTTTATGTGTTTATATGAGAACAAAATGTAAGTTTTAGACAAAAATGTTTAACTTTTATTGTGTTCATATTGTAAAGACTTCATATAAAAATAACATTTATTTTAGCATCCTAATAATATTTTGGTCCATTTTGTTCTTTTTTAAAATCTTTAAAAATTCTACTGATGCTACTTTGTCTTTAACTGTACTGAAAAGAAATTGTTTGCAAAAATATTTCTTGAGTTTTTTTTTCATTTAAATCAGGAAGCAGAAGTTGTTTTTACTTTTCGACTTCAAAAAGTCTAAAACATGTCCGTCATTTTCTAAATATATTAAACAAAGCAGAACCAAATTAAGATTCATATTAACTTTCCCTCAATGTCAGAAATTGTTTCTTATTCTTCTTCTCCTGTGTGACATGTATAAACATAAATACATAAATGTGATGTATGTATTAATTACAAATAACATATAATATATAGAATAAAGAGCTGAGTGCTTTGCTGGTTTCTCACCTTGAGCCTGAATGCAGACGAGCAGCCCGAGTATCACAAAGAGAGACATGACGGAGTCTCCGACCTCACGCTGCAACAACCTGCGTGCTGCCTCACGATAAACTAACCGCTCGCCTCGTGTTTAAAGAACCTCAGAGACGTTTGCACACAGCTGCTCGTCATCAGACTCCTTTTGAACTTCCTCTCTGCTGTCTGACTGCGTGAGATCTCTTCCTGTAAAGAGAGATTTAGTTCAGCCCTTTGTGAAGGAGGCTCATTTATGCCTAAAAGTTCATCAGAGGAACAAAGTACAATTATTCACTTCAACTTGTCCTCAAAGCTTCTTTAAGAGACTGTTTAATGAGTATCAGCACTATATTCTTTAAATGATTTATCATCCATCGTCAATCCACTTATCCTGCACACAGGGTCGCAGGGAGACTGGAGTCCATCCAACTTCGGGGATAGACGGGGACCACTACCTCAAGATAATTATGTGCAATGCATTGTAGCAAGAAGCAACATTTTAAAAAGTTAAATAAATAATAATATGCAAAGCGGAGTTTAGCTGGTTGCCACACTTGAGGTTTGTTGCAGCCTGTTCAGCAAGTAGTGAGGGGGAAGTAGTGAGGGGGAAGTAGTGAGGGGGAAGTAGTGAGGGGAAGTAGTGAGGGGGAAGTAGTGAGGGGGAAGTAGTGAGGAGGAAGTAGTGAGGAGGAAGTGAGTATGAAAAGTCAAACTATATTCATAAAACATTTAATGTCCTTGTCTGTTGTTCTGTAGTCGGGCCGAAATGGATTGATCTTGATTTCTTCCACAAATATTAAACATTTTGTTTTATGATTATATTTGCAATTGGAGGAAACTGGACGGCGGAATCCATGTAACTGGATAATATGAAAAGTAGATTACTTGACGTGATGCACACGTTGATCAAGCTTTAAGGGTTCATTTAGCAAAGGAATCACATGTTGATTTTTTAATGTCTAATGGAATGAAGAAGAAATCATTTTAACAACAGTTCCCTCTGCTGGTTAAAGAAGTCAATTACTACTCAATTTATTCCATCCACATAAAACACACAAACATCGTTCAGTCTTTAATCTGTGTGGTTTTTGTTCTCCAACATTGTTTTTATTGATAAATTTAATTTTTAAGTTAACATTGCAAAATATATCAAGTTTCATGTTGAACTGATGGTTTTTATGTGTGTTTACACAGAATACAGAAAACTGTAAATATGAGGCCGACATTTCTGTGGGATGTAAACAATTTGTACGGTTCTCCTTGTTTCTTCTTTTAATTTAACCTTCATTGAGGCAAAACCTTTATTTTTCCCCCATTTATTCTTTCTCATATCCTGTTTAAGATCTCCCTCTTTGTGAAGCGGTTTTGAAACTGTAGTTGTTGTGGCGGGGATAGGGTGTAAAGGGGAAATTAACCAAATTAAGAAAGAAAACGCCACTCGGGGAATTTCACCCCGAGAAATTTTCTGGGAAACACAAGGCACACAGGTAAGTTTACCGGTTGAGGCAAGAGACGCAGTTCACGGTTCAGAAACATACAACTTTATTTTGAATAGTTTTAAAATGGGTGCAATTTACTTCGTCCCAAAAGAAAATCAATAGAAAATTAATTTGAGGGCTGGAGCGGAGTGGATGGGTAGGTGCAAAAAGGGCGGGGGGACCCACCAAATTAAGAAAACAAACTCAAAACCACCCGACGTAGTGAACCCTCTTCCCAGGGCACAACAAACAAAGGGGTAGGACACCACCACCCGGCCACAAGCACCACCACCACCAGTCTCCACCTGAGAGAAAAACGGCAGCGACCCCCAATCACCTGATCACAGCAACTCCTAATTACAGGAAAATTCTGTTAGTTTTGCTTTAAAATACTAGGTTGCTCGCGTATACTTAAAAACACACACGCATGCCCGTTTCAGGACACACGCGTACACACAGGAGGGAGGGAGGAAGGGAGGGAGAGGACACTAGCTGTCGCTGGCATTTACCTATGACCACACTAGGGTTATCCATCAGACAGTATCAACAACGCCAAGAAGAGAGGGACACTCACCAAGTAATTACGCCACCGACATACGGGAGCACAGAGCAGCACGCTGCTAGTCACCCGGAAATGACGCACCAAAGAGGACAGAGGTGCAAGACACCAGGTGTTAATTACCAGCAGGGTCACCCAATGACCTGGCGCCTCTATACTGCTACATTTTCAAAGAGACAACACCATCACAAGGTCGCCATCACCCGCTCCCAGTGATCCGGCACCTGGACACCAGGAGATGGCCTCCACCTCCGGAGGCAAGGTGGTGACCGGAGGGCGGCAAGAACTGCGACCCGAACGCCTTCCGGGGGCTCTGGGAGAGCCGAATGCGTCCGCCAGGAATCCAGCTCGGGATCCAGGTCAAGCGTTTTCCCCCAAACAGGCAGCCAGCTGAACGCCTTGTGGTTAACGCAGACGGGTCAAGATCGGGTGTAGGCAGAGGCAGCACTCAAATGCAGAGTTGAAAAACAAAACTACTTTAATAGTCAAAACCCAGATAGTAGTAGAAGTAGATAATAGTAGATTACTTGACGTGGTGCACACGTCGATCACCTTTCATCTGATCATTTCCAAAAGAGCAACGATTCACACTTTAGACTTTTAAGGCCTGACGTGATTGGTGAGATTTAAGCTGCATGATGCAGGACGCTTCTGTTATATATTTGTATTTGTTCTTCTTTAGATAAAAGGAATCAAATCTTTTCCAACTGGGACGAATATGTGAAACAGCAGAGAATTTTTTAATTTACTCGAGCCAGACAGACAGGTGCAAGTTACGGGCAACCAACCTGGCTGTTGGCGAAGGAAACAGAGCGGCTGCATGCAGCGGTGGAGACTATATTTTTGTAGTAAGTATACTGTGACTGCCTTTCCTAGTGGGTTTATGGTATATGTCACGTAGACTACACCACTGGCTGCACGTAAACTGCTGTCATCAATGGAGAGATGTTGGAGACGGCAACGTGAAGAACCAGACGACTCTGCGTCAGCAGTGGTTTTCCTGCTGCGTGGACACCTGCGGCTTATATATGTACACATCTTTATTTCGTTATACATTTAGGTGGTGCGGCTTATATTCAGTCTTATATTATATTCAGTGCGCTCTATAGTCCGGAACTTACGGTAATTAATTTTCATAACGTATTTAGTCGTCATACAGTGATTCTTTAATACAAGAATAGCACATTCTTTGATAAAGACACCAGAGAGGGACACGTGACCTTTTAATCACTGAAACATAAGTATGAAGCTTTAACAAGTTATACGTTTTCACCCAAAACAAAACATGCAGAACAGAATTATGTACGAGTAAATAATGAACATGCAAGCAGACAAATATGCAACGTGTATTTTTTGTCATTGTAAATAGGAGCATATGCAGTATTATAAGGTGTATTTTCAAGGTTATTTCCTTACATAGTTGGTCTTTATTATACCCTGTACATATATATTTATTTGGATAACACCAAAAACGTATTTACATGGTAATTTCTTTGCAATCATTTTATTTACAACGTGAAAACAGTGACATTGTGTGTGACCAATGAACTATCAGCATTTGTTTCAAAGCTCAACTATGATGTTTTCTTGTAAAGAAACAACGTCTACATGACGTTTTTTTGTTGCCAATCTTTGATCCCACGTTTTGAATGTCTTTCCTTCACCAGGGTTCGTTAGCTTATCTGCGAAACTGAATTTTACAAATACTTTAAAACCTAAATAGTTTGCATCCATGTTTTCTTCTCCTGGTGTGTTGCTGCTACCAGCTGTGAGTCAGTGGAACATCAAGAGATCAGCGGCGCTGCTCAAGGATTTAAATGATTATTCCAGTTAAAGATGTGGAAACCTCTTTCATTGCCTCTTTCTTTAGCTGTTAGCATTGCCAAAACTAATACAAAGACTAAATTCTGACTTCCCTCTCATGTGAAAGTTATATTTTATTCACTTCTGGTGTATCTTTCAATGGTCTTTCTGGTTAGGGGCCAATGTGGCCCTCAGTAGGGGCCTCGGGGAGAGTGGACGTTTGGTTCAGTACACATTCTTCCTTTAACCATCAGGACGCCTTTGAATCGGACTCTGATCACAGATGGTTTGATCACTGCCAGTCGAATGGGATCAAATGACCCACACAGTCCATTAAAGTCTCCAGAGACGATGATCATAAGAACAATAGATGTTGCTTTCACATTATCGACTGTATATGAACGTGGTTGAGAAACTATGAGTGAGAATATGACACCTGGAAGGAGGCGAGATGATGTATCTGCATGAAGTGTTAAAACACATTTACATCCATTTGTGCACCTTCACTGGATATTTCTAGCAGTAGTGTTGTCTCGTCCTGCATGCACGTAACGCCGTGCAATCTGACCAGCAGCTAAACAGCTTCCAACATCAAACACTGGAGACTGGGATCGTCTTAACTCTGTTTATTTTATAAACGGAAATATTATATAATGGCAGTTGTAAAAACAATATAACTACATACCAATGCAATGCGGTAGTACACACAGTAGCTAACATAAAATGTACACATGTAAAAGACTACTGCCAGCGATAAGAGAAAAACAAAACATTTAAGTGAACTAATGTGCTGATGGGGACAGAACAAGTGTAGAGACGATAATATGTTGGCGTTTAGTTTATTTCCTCAACAGTATCTCAAGCTTCAACTAATACAATGTAACATTAACTGTGCCAGGAAGTGAGTTCATATCTTCAATAAGACACTTTTCTCTCCCCCACTTCCTCTTTGTCAGCTCAACTGACTGCAATTAAGATCAAAAGTCCTCCTGTGTGATGTAGAACTACAAACTTCAGATTGAATATTATATTTATATTATTGTGTTGAAGCCTCGACTGAGTCTATCGATGGTTTGGTCTGTTATTGACACTTAGCACTTTCATATTAAATATCATTAAATTTGAAGCGGTCACACACAGACGCTTCCTTCCCACAAAGCTTGTTTTTTCTGTTTCTGGGTCTCAGCGGCTTTAAACTTACTACAAAAGCAGAAAAATTTTCATCCCAAACAACTGCGACCTGGAGATAAACGGCCATCAGGTCACTGTGGTTTGCAGCAGTTACTTTATTAATAGAAGCTCTTTCTGTGTGAAGCTGAACCCTGTACTTCTATTTCTTTTAGAGTTGCTAACATTGAATTAACAACGAATATTTAGTGGAATCCTCTTTTATTTCTCCGTCGAGGCAACAAGGACGTGATGAGGACCAGAAGTGAGTGCTGAGGATGTGAAAGTGATCTTTGAGTCAAAGGTGTTGATGATATTCTGATGGAAATGTGTGACAATGATGAAGCAAGGAGGAAGATGATGGAGGTAAATACGTGAGAAATCATCATGTGAGGTAGTTACAAGTCAACCACATGGAGACATATATGGCTTCATTCAAACCATCTTTAAAGTAACTGGTTCTTGCTTCAAGCAGAAAGTAAAACATTCTCAACTTCCTGGTTTCATTGTCACTCTTCCATTCTGTAGAATGAAGCCGTGTGTCGTGCTTCTCTTTGCCGTTTCTCTGCTGAGATTATGTGAAGCACAAGGTGAGGACTTTATTTTATATACATTTTGTTGTTGATTGTTTTTCAATGTCAAAGCTTTTATACCGTAGCACCATTTCTGCAATAGAAGTTGAGTTAAAAACGTATTTTCGATCTGTGTTTCTTTCTGGATTCTTGTTGTTCCTTCTTGTACTGAGCTCTCAGAGGCAGGAAATCATCTCAGTTCACAGTATGAGAGCTTTGAAATAAACTATTACAATGTTAGTAGAAAAATATCATTGATCTCAGCCAGTCAACAAGATTATTATGCGTTGTTGAGGGAAACTTTCTTTAAGTCCTTTTTTAGTTTTTATTTGAACACAAAAAGTCAGTTATTTTCTAAAGTCATCCATGTTCAGTGTAGCTGATGCTGGGGGACATTAGTGTGGTGAGACGGAGGGAAAGAGGACAAAGAGACAGAATGGAAATACTTTGTCACGTCAAGAAGAAGAACTTTGAGCAGCAACTTGCTCTCAGTGGGTTTAGTTTCTGCTGTTAAGCTTCTCTGTGTCCTCAGGAAGAGACGACGTGAGACATTTTAAGCGACTTCTGTCACTTCATGTTAAGCAGTGATGAGCTGAAGGTGAACCGCTGGTTCAATGTGTAATGAATAAAGTGTAGTGATGGAGTAACATTCAGCAGTGAATGATTCATCATATATTGTGTGTGATGTTTATTGTATCATGTGTCTACTGTTTTTACAGGAATCAATGTGACTCCTGTGTTTGTGCTGAAGGGACGTGATCTGCTCCTGAAGTTTGATGCTGATCTTCCTGATGGGGTTTTAGCTGTTGACTGGAAAATCAATGAAACAGTCACTTTAGTAAGATTTCTACCTAGTGGGAAACAAAATGTCCTTCATAATTCCACTGGAGGGTTTGAGTTTCCTGAGAAAAACTTCTCTGTGACATTGAAGAATCTACAAGAGGCCGACAGCGGACTTTATGCTGCTGTAGCAGCAACGGCTGCAACTACAGGAGACAAACTACTAGCTGAATACAAGGTCACAGTTCAAGGTGAGTCTGTAAACATTTCACTGATAGTTTCTGCCGCCATGTTTCATGAACTCTTCACAGTAACCCCCCCCCTCAGGACCAGTGTCTCCAGTTGAACTGATCGTGGACCGAGTGGACTCCAACAGCTCAGAGTCATGTGACCTCCATGTGACCTGCAGGACTCACAACTCTCACATCAACAGCACTTTCAGATGTGTCGATCGGGTCTGCAGTCAGGAGGGAGGAGAGCGACCAGAGGTCACGACCTCTGGGGCTTCTCTCCAGGTCTACCTGTTGAACAGCACCATCATCTGTAACCATAGCAACCAGGTTCACTGGACCCAGAACCTTAATAATGCTGAACATCTTTGCTCCTCAAATGGTAAGACTGAAAGAGGAAACTACTACATGATAATAATGCACCCTCTGCTCCCCCATTAAAACACCTTTTAGTGTCAACCATTAATGACTGTAAAGGTCAGTAAGACTAAATTCTCTGTTTTAATTGAATAAATTAAATGATTCGATCACGTTAAAGATGTTTTCACAATCCAAATTGCAGTCTGTCAGAAGCACATCAGGCTGTGAACATGTGACACATTCTCAGCTGCTGCGTCATTTAAACCAGGAAGACTCTTCTGATCTGGTGCTTGTTTTGTTTTACAGATCCTCCCTTTCACTCCGGCTGGGTGATGTATGGGTGTATAATTCTCATTGTCGTCGTAATTGTGGTTCTTTTCGTCTTGCTTTATTATCGTCGAAGGAGAAGAATCTGTAAGTCCAAGTAAACATTCCAACAAATAATCACGTAAACATTCCAACAAATAATCACAACATTTTCTAAATCCTTTTTGTTTCCTCTTCATATAAACTCAATGTTTCCAAGTCCTCCATAACTATGTACCCACCTGTTTGGTTAAACAGCCCAATATAACAAATCAAAGCTTTGCCTCAGAATGCTGAACAATGTGTACAACACAGGACGTCTTTTACTGCATCAGATAAGGAAATACTATTGGGTGAAAATATTCATGTGATATATTACCACAAGGTGCTTTTCATCACACTGGGAATGTCATGATTCCCTGTTTTGAAATAACTTCTAAGAGTCACAAACATCCAAACATATCAAATCCAACACATCAAAATGTGCTTCTGTTTGAGGATGGAGTAAATTAGACACCACCCAAAAGATGGACTCAATTTATCTGCAGCTTAAGTAACAGTTCAAATCTCTAAAGTGCTGATTTTTTCTTCAACAACAGCAGATTCAAGACAGATTTTCGATAATACAGCGTATGAAGATCCTCAGGTAAGCGTTGCGTCTTTTTTTTAAGAAATCAAGAATTGTTTTTAGAATAAAAACCGTGTGCTGAGGTTGTTTGCAGGTTTTCCATGTGGACTTTGTGCTTCTAGTTGCTACGTGCACACATCTGCTGCTTGCTTGTGCTCAGATACGCTGGGAGAAACCTGATGATCCATCGATCCACACCTGGTCTCTTGTGTCCATTAGTCCTCTTCAGCTGTGTTTCTTATATATTTTGTAGCAGTTTTAAGGACTTTAGAAAACCAGACTAATTAGTTTTACGACAAAGAGGCAGAAGTATTTATATCAGCGACTGTTAATCGTCAGGAGATGACTCTACACATGGGAAATAGAACAATTAAAAAGAGGCAAGTAACCTTTTCTTGTATGTGATTCATCCTGCAGGAAGTAACATCAGCACCACCTCAGAATGAGAACGCCACCTACAGCTTGTTGGGATTTCCTGCTGGATCGACTCAGCTGGAGAGCATCTACGCTACGGCGAAGAAGCCTGGCAGGTCCTCCAACGATTAAACAGGAATGTTTTCCCAAATCCCGGAATTCTGCCTGAAGTTTGCAGTGTTATTGGAGCTTTCTATGTATTAGTTCATGTGACCTGCTTTAATGCCGAAAGATTTTCCTCTACACAAATGTGTCATTGGAGAGAGATTAAAATTATTAAATGTTACTAAACATCACACACATTAAAAAGTACCTTTTTTAGCATCACAATTGGAGATATTAGTAATTACATATTTTACATTTAAGATCAAAGTAGAAAAAGTGAGAAATATGTTGTTGTCCTGCAGGAAGCCTCATCTTTGGTTCCTGGTTTGATTCTTCATGTCACCTTTCATCTGATCATTTCCTAAAGAGCAACGATTTACACTTTAGACTTTTAAGGCTTCATCTGATTGGTGAGATTTAAGCTGCATGATGCAGGATTCTTCTGTTATATATTTTTATTTATTATTTTTTAGATAAAAGCAATCAAATCTTTTTCTACTGTGACAAATATGTGAAACAAAAGCAGAGAATATGACACCTGAAAGGAGGCGTGATGATGTATCTGCATGAAGTGTACCTGGGGAGGATAAAACAACATTTGTCCTGAAACACCATTTACATCCTTGTGTGCACTTTCACTGGATATTTCTGACCTTATCGTAGGAAGATGTGCTTTTTGATACGACTAAAACATCATATCATATTAAATATCATTGAATATGAAGCGGTCACACACAGACGCTTCCTTCCCACAAAGCTTATTTGGATTTTCTGTTTCTGGGTCTCAGCGGCTTTAAACTAACGACAAAAGCTGAGAAAGTTTCATCCCAAACTGCTGCGACCTGGAGATAAACGGCCATCAGGTCACTGTGGTTTGCAGCGGTTACTTTATTAATAAAAGCTCTTTCTGTGTGAAGTGGAACCCTGTACTTCTATTTCTTTTAGAGTTACTAACATTGAATTAACAACAAATATTTAGTGGAATCCTCTTTTATTTCTCCGTCGAGGCAACAAGGACGTGATGAGGAACAGAAGAGAGTGCTGAGGATGTGAAAGTGATCTTTGAGTCAAAGGTGTTGATGATATTCTGATGGAAATGTGTGACAATGATGAAGCAAGGAGGAAGATGAAGGAGGTAAATATGTGAGAAAGGTTTGTGTAACGTAGTTACAAGTCAACCACATGGAGACATTGATAATCCAAAACGTTTTCAGTGCTCATTTAGGGAGTCACTGTCTGAGGAGTGCAAGGTCAGAGGAAAAGCAGAAAGAGTCAACCAGGCAGACGCAGGTCTGATGAGGATGAGATTTAGAGACACACCAAGCACCACACAACACTCACGCTTTGTTCGTTATGTTCACATTATGTTAGAAGACCACACATTGCATGTGATTGGATCTTGTGTTGTGGCGAGAGGACCTGCTCCTCCTCGACGCCAGTTTAGGGCCAATTGAAATCATTTCTTTTATATCTAACAATAAATACAAAATGTAATGTTTTCCTTGTTAGTCAGTTGTTCTTCCGGCCTGCGTGCTGCCAGAACTGCTCCTGCCTTTGCAAACGCAGCGCTGATACTTTACCTGTGATCTGACAAATAAATCTACTAGAATGAGAGAAGTTGTTTGGCTGAATTTGTGCAGAATAACTCCAACCAGCCTTTCAAATTTGTTCACAATATTTCAACATATAAGGCTTCCTTTAAACCGTCTTTGAAGTAATTGGTTCTTGCTTCAAGCACTTTGAACTTTGAACTTCCTCAATTTTTTTTTATTGCGTCACACTTTCATTCTGCAACATGAGGCCGTGTGTCGTGCTTCTCTTTGCCGTTTCTCTGCTGACATTATGTGAAGCACAAGGTGAGGACTTTGTCATATATACATGCTGTTGTTTTTCAAGGTCAACGCTTTTATACCGTAGCACCATTTCTGCATAGAAGTTGGGTTAAAAACTTATTTTTGATCTGTGATTCTTTGTATTTCATCAGGACACGTGTTGCTCCTTCTTGTACTGAGCTCTCAGAGGCAGGAAATCATCTCAGTTCACAGTATGAGAGCTTTGAAAAACAATGTTAGTAGAATAATATTATTGCTCTCAGCCAGTCAACAAGGTTATTTAATATTGTTTTATATTTAGGTGAAGATCTGGATCCACATACAGACAGAAACACACACATTCAGCTTTCGTTGTTGAGGGAAAACTCTTTTTTCTGAGTTTTTTAGTTTTCATTTAAAAATGTTCCGTAATTTCAGTGTTTTACTTCAATGAATATTGAATAATTACAATAGAAGACGTGTGTGATACAGAGGAAACATTCAAGGTGCTTTTAGACACATTCTTACCACTTGTTGAAACGGGCTGAACGCATCTTTCCCTCCAAGACAAATGTTGACCTTTACTCCTCTCAGAGTTTGACTCCTTCAGTGTTCAGTCTGTGGAAGTCTTATTTTCTAAAGTCATCCATGTTCAGTGTAGCTGATGCTGGGGGACATTAGTGTGGTGAGACGGAGGGAAAGAGGACAAAGAGACAGAATGGAAATACTTTGTCACGTCAAGAAGAAGAACTTTGAGCAGCAACTTGCTCTCAGTGGGTTTAGTTTCTGCTGTTAAGCTTCTCTGTGTCCTCAGGAAGAGACGACGTGAGACATTTTAAGCGACTTCTGTCACTTCATGTTAAGCAGTGATGAGCTGAAGGTGAACCGCTGGTTCAATGTGTAATGAATAAAGTGTAGTGATGGAGTAACATTCAGCAGTGAATGATTCATCATATATTGTGTGTGATGTTTATTGTATCATGTGTCTACTGTTTTTACAGGAATCATTGTGACTCCTGTGTTTGTGCTGAAGGGACGTGATCTGCTCCTCAAGCTTGATGCTGATCTTCCTGGGAAGTTTCTATATCTTGACTGGAAAATCAATAAAACAATCAAATTAGTAAGATTTCTACCTAGTGGAAAATCAATTGTCCTTCATAATTCCACGGGAGGGTTCGAGTTTCCTGAGAGATTCTCTGTGACATTGAAGAATCTACAAGAGGCCGACAGCGGACTTTATGCTGCTGTAGTAGTAACATTTTCAGGAGACAAACTAGTAGCTGAATACAAGGTCACAGTTCAAGGTGAGTCTGTAAACATTTCACTGATTCTGGCGCCATGTTTCATGAACTCTTCACAGTAACCCCCCCCCCCCTCCCTCAGGACCAGTGTCTCCAGTTGAACTGATCGTGGACCGAGTGGACTCCAGCAGCTCAGAGTCATGTGACCTCCATGTGACCTGCAGGACTCACAACTCTCACATCAGCAGCACTTTCAGATGTGACGACCGGGTCTGCAGTCAGGAGGGAGGAGAGCGATCAGAGGTCACGACCTCTGGGGCTTCTCTCCAGGTCCACTTGTTGAAGAGCACCATCATCTGTAACCATAGCAACCAGGTTCACTGGACCCAGAACTTTAATACTGCTGAACATCTTTGCCTCTCAAATGGTAAGACTGAAAGAGGAAACTACTACATGATAATAATGCATCCTCTGCTCCCCCCATAAAAACACCTTTTTTGTAAACCAGCGATCCCCAAAGTGTGGGGCGCTCTCTTGTAGTATTAAATATACCACATTTTCCGCACTCCAAGTCGCACTTAAACGGCTTTAATTTTCTCAAAACGACAGTGCCTTATAATCCGGAGCTCCATATATATATGGATAAATTGGTTAATCGGTTGGATCCATATTGATTATACACTCCACTCAAGGCGCTCTGCCCAAACACGCCAAAGCTCAGTCTACGACGGCGAGATGCTGAGCGTGAGATATGGAGCTTGTTTCAGGGCGCGTCGGAGAAACAAAGCTGTCGTTCTTGCCGAGCACTTCATGAGATTAAAGAGCGAGAGACGGCGCCCTTTTCTCTACAGTAGCTGAACCATCTTAACGGGGAAAATAAGTTATTCTAAAAGCAGCAGAAGATTTGAGGCGTGGATGGCGAGGGGGGCGGCGCGAGCGGACGCACCTCACGGCATCGATCGGACCCTGAAAGCACCGTCTCCCCCTTACTGTCAAAAATAACAACAGCGAGCGCGTAGAAAACTCTTTCGAGCGCGAGCAGAGATTCTCCTCGCGAGCAACGAAGTTCACGTTTCGCAAGCGAGCAAATACCTCGCGGAGACAGAATTTTGCTTGCGCGAGACGGACTTTTGCTCGCGGATGTTTGATTTTGGTTAAATTCTTAAGGTCCTTTAATCATTACGTTTTGATCAGAGTTGTGATTAAAGGTTTGGGTGGGCCGCGAAAGATTTTCAGATTTCAAAGTGGGCCGCGGCATTCTTGAGTTTGGAAACCGCTGGTGAAAACCAATTAAAGACTTTAAAGGTCAGTAAAACTAAATTATCGGTTTTAATTGAAGAGAATAAATGATTTCTTACTATAGATCATGTTAAAGAAGTTTTCACAATCCAAACTGCAGTCAACATGTGACACATTCTCAGCTGTTGCGTCATTTAAACCAGGAAGACTCTTCTAATCTGGTCCTTGTTTTGTTTTACAGATCCTCTCTTTCACTATGGCTGGGTGATTGGTATTTGCTCACTCGTCATGACTTCAGCTCTATATGCCTAAGGAGAAGAATCTGTAAGTCCAAGTAAATGTTCTAACAAATAATCACAACATCAGCAAAATCCCATTTGTTTACTCTACATAGAAAGTTTCCAAGTCCTCCATAACTATTTACTCACCTGTTTGGTTAAATAGCCCAATATAACAAATCAAAGCTTTGCCTCAGAGCGCTGAACAATCTGTACAACACAGGACTCTTACTGGCATCAGATAAGGAAATACTTGGGGTGAAAAATATACACGTGATGAGTTCTGTTTGAGGATGGAGTAATTTAGACACCACCAAAAAAATGGACTCAATTTATCCGCCGCCAAAGTAATGTAAACGTACAACATTTCAAATCTTTAAAGTGCTGTTTTTTTCTTCTTCTACCACTGACCTGCAGATTCAAGACAGAGCGTTGATAATACGGTTTATGGAGTTGCTCAGGTAAGTATAATTTTTTTTTTTTAAAGAAATTATAAAAGGTTGTTTGCAGGTTTTCCAGGTGGGCTTTGTGCTTCTAGCTGCTACGTGCACACGTCTGCTACTTGCTGGGAGGAACCTGATCAACCTGATTTTCCAGGAGCGATTTGGGGACCCTTTCGTGCCACACAGCAGCGACAGAAATCCTCCACGTCCCTCCTGCATTGCCCCCAGTAAAAGCCTCGGCGGAGACGCCACAGTGTTTTGGAAACCCCAAAATGTCCTGACCCTGCAGCTCCATGCATGGCTTCCAGCACCGAAACCCGCAGGACCATGGGAACCACCATCTGCCACCTTTCCTCCCCTGTTGCTTGCTCCTTCCATAGCCGCTGCAGCACGCCCTGACTCAGGTGCAGAGACTCAAACTGGGACCACAAACCTTTGGTTGCTTTGGAGAACACTGCCACCTCTTTCCAAGGGGGGCGCCGCTGTGCCTCCACCCACTGCACTGCCGGCTGTAGGTCCACATCCCGTCCCTGGTGTTGCCTCCATTCAGACAGGTCCACTGCCTGCTGCTCCTGGCTCCCAACCTCCTCCAGCCGCCGAACTGCCGCACCATCCCTCCTCCTCTCGCAGTTCCTGCTCGCGGGTCTCTTACCGTTCGCAGTAGTGGCACCCTTCTGTGGCACACGGTCGTCGTGAGAGCGCGTTGGCATTAGTGTGGCGTTGAAGTCGAAAGCCTGGAGCTCCTCCAACCACCTGGCCACCTGCCCCTCTGGCTCTTTGAATGACATGAGCCACTGCAGGGCCGAGTGGTCTGTCCTCACCGTGAAGTTCCGGCCACATAGGTAATACCTGAAGTGCCTGATTGACAGGACCACTGCCAAGAGCTCCCTGCGGATGACACAGTATCTCCGCTCAGCCTTGTTGAATGCTCGGCTGAAGTACGCCACCACTCGCTCCCCTTCAGGGCTCGCCTGAGACAGCACTCTCCCAATGCCTGATCCGCTAGCATCCGTGTCCAGCATGAAAGGCAAGCTAATGTCGGCTGGGGCAAGAACCGGAGCCTCTACCAGGGCGCACCGCAGGTTCTTGAATGCCGTCTGGCATTGCTCCGTCCGGGAAAAATCCCTGTCCTTTTGCAGCAGCTGGAACAGGGGTGCAGCAGTGCCAGCAAACCCCCGTACAAACCTCCTGTAGTACAAGGCCAGACCCAGAAAACTCTTTAACTGCTTCTGGCTGGTGGGTGTGGGCCACTCTGCAACCGCCTGGACCTTTTCTGGCATGGTACCAATGCCTTCGCCACCTACCCGGTGCCCCAAAAAGGACACCTCTCTCTGCATGAAATGGCACTTCTCCGGGTGAAGCTTCAGGCCGGCCGCTCTTATTTTTTCCAGCACCATCCGCAGCAACGCCAGGGCTTGCTCGAATAATCTACCGTGAACCAGGATGTCGTCCAGGTAGACCAGGCACTGTTGGCCTCCATCAGCCTTACGAAGGTGGCAGGGGCATTACAAAGTCCAAAGCTGAGCACCTTGAACTGCCACAGCCCCCGTCCGGTGCAGAAAGCAGTCTTGGGGCGGGCCTCCGGAGCGAGTGGCACCTGATAGTATCCGCTGCGGAGGTCCAAGGAAGAGAACCAAGAAGACCTCGAGACCAAGTCTAGGGACTCGTCGATGCGGGCAGTGAATATGAATCCTTCTTGATCACCCCGTTTACCGGCCTGCAATCCGCACAGAGTCGGCAGCTGCATATCTTCTTAGGGACCATGACAACTGCTGCTGCCCACGGGCTGTCGAACGGCTCGATGACACCCGCCTGCAGCATGCTGGTGACCACGTCATCACAAGCCTGTTGGCGAGCCAGCGGCACTTGATAGGACGTGCGTCCCCTGTGTCAATCATGCTGCACTAGGTGAGTTTGCCCCACTTCGTCCTCGTTCTTGGCGAAACTGCCTTGGAAGTCCAGAAGAAGCTGCCACAGCTGCTCCTGCTGCCAGGGCTGTAGGCTGCTACAGTTCTTGCTCCACACCTCCCTTATCACGGCCGCCCCCCCCCTCCTCCGCGTGGCTCATGGTGTGGTTGGCCGGGGGAAAGATCCTGGGTGAGGACGAGGGGGGGCAGGCGAGGGGGGGAAAGTTGCAAGGAAACATCTTTACCGTACTCACTGCTGGTGCTGGAGGTCCTGGGGGAGGCAGCGATGGGTTGAGGGTGGAGACCAACGTGACGGAAGGCCCTCCTTGGAGGCTCACTGTGCCCCGTTGTAAGTCTAAATGGCAGCCCGTGGCCCTCAAAAAGTCCAACCCCAGGATACATGGGTCTTGTACTGCAGCTATCCACACCGGGTGACACACCGTGACCGGCCTTTCATGGGTGCCAGCTCTCCGGTAACTGTGCGCAGATGCACTGAAGTGGGGTCAAGCAGTCCAGTCTGTGATCATATCTGGTCTCACCAGAGCTACTGACCCTACTACTGACCCTGTGTCCACTAGCGCTAAACAGGCCACCCCTTCCACAGTAACAGGGACATAGCACAAGTCGCCCTTCCCAGTGCGCCCCACTGCAACGACAGGCTCCATGCTCGTGTTGTCATCCGCTTCTGGGCGAAGTGGAGCCTGGCCTCCCCGGCTGTGCTGTTGGTCTCCCTCGGCTGCTGCTGAGGCTTGTGGCGCTGTGATCGGGGTTACGGTTGGGGCCCGCGTATCCCCTTCTATGCGGACCCGAGCCGTTTCCCTGATACTTGCTTGGTTTGGGGCACTCCCTGGCGAAATGCCCCGGTTACCCGCAATCCCAGCATACCCTGGGTCCGGGTCGCGGTCGGTGTGATTGTTGTAGTGACACAGCCCTAATCAGCTCCTTCACTTCAGTCACCCACGGTGGTCTCTCTGCCTCTGCGGGGCCTGCCATTGCCGCCCTCACCATAGGTGGTCCCTCTCTATGGTAGTCTCCAGCGGCTGCACCACACACATTCTCTCTCTCCACGGCCGTCTCTAAAGCCGCCTGCAACGAGTGTGGGTGCTGCAGCTGGACCTGGACCCACAGCTCCGCTGGGACAATCGCCCTAGTGAACTGGTCCCGCGCCAGCTTGCTTTGTACTTGCTCCGTGACAAGCTTTCAACCTCATTGGCCAGTGCCCGCAGCGGCTCCCCCGGTTTTCTGCAGCAATTCTTCAGTTCATTGCGCAGAAGTCCCGGTTGCGAACACTGTCCAAACCGCCTCTGGAGGCCCCTACCCGCGCAAGGTAACACCGTCTGTCCTCCGGGCTCAGCAGCAGCAGGCATGACAGCACGTCCCCCGTTTGACACAACGCCAGCTGTAGTGCCTTAGTCTCTGTACACCAATCCCCCGCATGCGACAGCAATTCAAATTGAGCCAGTAAAGTTTCCCAAGGTGTCCTACTGTCATATTTCGCCGTTTTCACTGAAGTGACTGCACACGAGTGACGGGCGCCGCCATTGTAGTTTAACGCTATATTCCCCGGAGAAACCGCGGGAAACTCCGGTGCGGGACTCATGCCGGTGGCTCCAGCCATCCTCACCGTAGACTCTCTCAGACGTGCCCTCGCATCCCTCGTAGCTCTGTCGAAACTTCTGGCCATGTCCTTTGACCACCCGCCACCCCCCTCTTCCTCCGCTTCTCCATTTTCTTCCTTTACCGTAACGTTGACGTTAGTCCCGTAGACACGATGCATGGCCACAGCAGGCTAACCGGCTAGCTCTCCACCGGGTTTAACGATCTTGTCCGTTCAAAGTCACTTCTGACACCAATGTAGCGGTGTAGTGCATGATCCATGGCCACAGCAGGCTAACCGGCTAGCTCTCCACCGGGTTTAACAATCTTGTCCGTTCAAAGTCACTTCTGACACCAATGTAGCGGTGTAGTGCGTCACTCAGCACACGCAGGCGAATGGACGTTCTGGTAGCAATCCGTTATTTAGTTCTCTAGCAGCAGAAATCCATACACCCCACGCTATTGGTAGGCTACACTCTCTCGAACTTGCAGTCGGCAATAACAACAACTTAGAACTCTCGCTAGCAAACTTGACTAGCCCCCCGAAACAACGGGAACACCCGCCTCCCACCGTCTCCCCCAATCACTGGCCACCCCCTGTCTAGCATGAACCGCAACTCCCCCTGATTGGCCAGCGTGAGGGGACTGACGTGAAACTGACAGAACACACTGATGAACAGGGTCGCTACAATACATTATTGTCGGACCGACAATAATGTATTGTCGGCCTGTCTGGCCGAGTCGGGGTCGGGGCTGAGAGTCTCGGAGCGGGGACTGGCCGAGTCGGGGTCGGGGCTGAGAGTCTCGGAGCGGGGACTGGCCGAGTCGGGGTCGGGGGACAGAGTCGGGGAACGGGAGGTCGCTGCGGCGGCCCAGCGGAAACGGGAGAACGCTGCGGCGGCCCAGCGGGAACGAGAGAACGCTGCAGCGGCCCAGCAGGTAGTCGGTGATTTCTCTGGCCAGGGCTCCTCCTGGGATTTAGAAGATCCCGGAGCTCGAGGCAGGCGAGCTGATAGCCCCTGGGACCGAAGATGAAATTGGTCTTACGCCGCCAGAAGGGACTTCTTACGTCCAAATACTCAGGTCCGTAATCTGGCAGCGGGTCTGCGGAGCCCTTCTTTGGTCGCGTCATTCTGTCAAGGATGCGTGGGGGAGGCAGGACTCAAATGCAGACTTCTCGGAAAACAAAAGACTTTAATAGTCAAAAGGCAAAAACACACAGGAACCAGGGGAAAAACATCAGGCAGGAAACTACGAACATCCACAACGATAGACAATGACGCGACAAGTGACACAAGAGACACACGGCTTAATTACACAAGGGAGGTGCAGGTGATTGGACACAGGTTGAAACTATTAGACGATCACAGGGGATGACGGGACAAGGCAGGAAGTGAAGTTACCCGGGGACACGAGTGGCAGAAAACTACAAAATACAACAGGAAGTGAACCACACCGTGACACACATCTTCTACAATCTATCGCACCTGACCTTCTTCCGTTCCTCACCTGTCT